CCAAAACCATTACACTCACACCAGCTCCTGTGTACCCGCCCCTCTCATGCAGCCCAGTGTGAAGTGTCTCAGAAGGAGCAAACACCCTTCCTTCTTCTCCTGAGAGCAGCAATGCCTACCTGAGAAAGCACAGGAAGAGTTTTGCTCACTCTCCTCCTGCCAGCCTCCTGCACACTCCAGCACCAGAGAAAACAGTCACCCTGCATGAAGAACTCCAGAAAAAGGGATGACAAACCACACAGAGGACACACCGGAATAAAACAAAGATATCTGCTTACAAATTCAAGGCCTATCACCACTCCTGCTAAATCTGGTGGGCCTTTGGAAAGGCCCAGCAAGGAAAGAGGTGAGCTCTCTGCCTCTCGTGTGTCTCAGCACAAACCCTCTCTAGGATGAGAGTCACCCAGGCATGTTATAAGCAGAGACCGTGCTCCCTGCTCCTGGCAATAATTTCAGGTTGAGATAGCTTGTGCTCCGATTCAAAGTCCTCAGGAAATAAGTCAACGTTTTACCCGTTGTATTGAACTGAAAAGGAGGTGTCTGGGGCAGCTGGAGGGTGAAAGCTTTGGTCTCCATTAACATTATTTTCTGTAATAGCAGGTAAGACAGAGAAATCAATTTTTTCATTGCATACTTGAGCCCCGAGGAAACAAAGAAAAAGTCACGACCATCTTTTCATGGAGACAAGCGGCTCAATAAAAAGCATGGCTCATTTCGACTTTGGGGGATGATTCGAACACTCTGAGCATACGTAGGCATTGCAAATACCATCTCCAGCTGTAGAAACTGCTACCAGGGTCTCCGTTTCTTGTGGTCTTTCTGACACGTTACTTGCTGGAGAGGCGAGTGTTTTGCTAGGGCTGCTGCGGGGCCATTCCCCGTGAGGAAGGAGGAGCACAGCAGCTCCTGAGAAACACAGCCCTTGCCCTTCTGCACTGGATTAGCATTCAGACAATGGAGAGAGAACTCAAGAAGCCTGTGATCTGAAGTTATGTTAAAGACAGGTCCTCTAAGAACGTGAACCATGCCATAGATCATTTCTATTGTCAGTAATTACATAGGTGGCAAGAAGATAGATGTAAAATGGAGGACTTAACCTATGTATTAATACATAAC